TGCAAATTAAAACCACACTAAGATTCCACCTCACCCCTGTTAGAATAGCCATCATAGCAACACCACAACAACAGGTGTTGGCGAGGATGCGGGGAAAAAGGAACCCTCTTACACTGTTGGTGGGAATGTAAACTAGTACAACCACTCTGGAAAAAAATTTGGAGGCTACTTAAAAAGCTAACATTGATCTACCATTTGATCCAGCAATACCACTCTTGGGGATATACCCAAAAGACTGTGACACAGGTTACTCCAGAGGCACCTGCACACCCATGTTTATTGCAGCACTATTCACAATAGCCAAGTTATGGAAACAGCCAAGATGCTGCACCACTGACGAATGGATTAAGAAAATGTGGTATCTATACACAATGGAATTTTATGCAGCCATGAAGTAGAACGAAATGTTATCATTCGCTGGTAAATGGATGGAATTGGAGAACATCATTCTGAGTGAGGTTAGCCTGGCCCAAAAGACCAAAAATCGTATGTTCTCCCTCATATGTGGACATTAGATCAAGGGCAAACACAACAATGGGATTGGACTTTGAGCACATGATAAAAGCAAGAGCACACAAGGGAGGGGTGAGGATAGGTAAGACACCTAAAAAACTAGCTAGCATTTGTTGCCCTTAAACAGAGAAACTAAAGCAGATACCTTAAAAGCAACTGAGGCCAATAGGAAAAGAAGACCAGGAACTAGAGAAAAGGTTAGATCAAAAAGAATTAACCTAGAAGGTAACAAACACACACAGGAAATTAATGTGAGTCAACTCCCTGTATAGCTATCCTTATCTCAACTAGCAAAAAACCCTTGTTCCTTCCTATTATGGCTTATACTCTCTCTACAACAAAATTAGAATAAGGGCAAAATAGTTTCTGCTGGGTATTGAGGGGTGGGGGGAAGGGAGGGGCGGAGTGGGTGGTAAGGGAGGGGGTGGGGAGGGGGGAGAAATGACCCAAGCCTTGTATGCACATATGAATAATAAAAAAAATAAAATAAAAGGGATTGTCAAAGTGAAAAAAAATAAAATAAACTCCTAGGTCTGGACCATGTTCTCTCCTTCCCCAAGTGTGTGCATCCCCTCATATCTGGTATCCCACAGACTCTCAATAGATAAATGCAGGACTCTTGTGTGATGGAGTGATTGAGTGGAGAATTTTGGCCCAGTGTGTTTAAGGAAATCTTTAGAACAAAAGATTAATTCCCAGGCTACACATGGTAGCACACCCCTATAGACCCAGCACTCTGAAGGCTGATGCAGAAGGATTATTAGTTCTCAGCCAGCCTAGGCTACATAATGAGAACCTATCTCAAAAAAAAAAAGGAAAGAAAGAAAGAAAAAAGAAAAAAAATTAGGGATTATTTCCCAAGCCCTCCAGAATTCCTGAGACAGGAAACTTTATCGAAACCAGTTCCTGCAGTGGTCTCCTCACACCTCACTTCTGTTCCAACCTCAGGGTCAATAATAAAGAAGTCATCTGGGGGCTGGGTGTACCTTTGTGGTAGAAAGTACATTTAACATGTACAAGGTCCTGGGTTCAACCCCAGTAACACCCTCTCCAAAAGAGTAATCTGGCTTTAAACATTATTATTATTATTATTATTACTTTGGTTTGGGGTTTTTTTTGAAACAGATCTCCCTGTGTCACCCAGGCTGAGCACAAGCTCACCACTCTCCTGCCTCAGACTCCTGTGCTGGGATTGTAGCCATGCCCCCCCATGCCCAATTGCCCCTAAACTTTCTTAATTTCATGGACGGAGTCTTTGAATCCTTTGTACTTCCCTTGACCTAAACTCTGGCTATTCCAGATTAGTACATTCTGTGGTGATTGTTTCACAATGTGTACATCACTTTGGATATCTTAAACTTATACAATTGTCAACTATACCTCCAGAAAGCTTCAAATAAACAAATAAATATCATCTGGCTATTTTGAAATTTTACACACCTTGATATTTGTGTTTAAGGCACAAGCCCAGCCTGGGAGTGTAGTTCATGGGTAGAGCACTTGCCTAGCACATATGAGGCCCTGGATTTGATCCCAAACACAGCAAAAAAAAAGAAACAAAGAAAGAAAGAAAAAGATAATAACAAATAAAAATAAGGTACAAAGCCAGACATGGTGACACGTGCCTTGCCTGTAATCCTGAAATAGGGACTATCCCAAGGGGATAAATAAACTCTGGGCCCTTAGCCTGTTACACATTAAAAACATGGTATGTTTTGTTTTGTTTTCATCCTTGTACTTTTTCAACAGTTTTGTCATAAAATCCTGGATTACCAAAGGCCAGAGCAATGCATTGTTAGCTGATGCAAGCTTCCACACAGATAATACCTCTAATAGATGAATTCTTATAACAGGTGCCTATGTCTTGTAATAGGGGCTTAAAAGTTGCTTTTGCTGAGGAGCACTGACTCCTTACTTGGGCCCAGGAATTAACTAAAGGCAGAAAACAGATTATTGCAAAGCTCTTTTCCATAGAAATGGAAGGAATAAATTGACAGTGGGGAAAATGTAACTAGGACCACAAAAGAAAAGAAAAAAAAAACTTTTTGTATAGCCAGCTTGCATGCTGGCCAGTTTACTGGACTTGGACGTGTTGATTAAGTTAACATTCTCTCCCTCTTTGTTTACAAGCTGGAGAATCCAGGATTAAGTCCCTTTGCTCTTCAATTAGACCAGGCAGCTCTCTCCCTCTGATCTCTTACTGACCACCCGAGCAGTAAACCTGCCAGCCAAGATGTACAGCTTCAGAGAAGTGGTACCAGACGTCTGGAGAATCAAAGCCAATGGCCATCTGGACACACACTCAAGCTGAGCCCCCGAACACTCTATTCAAAGCTGGCCATTTTCTCATTTCTCTCAGAAGTGGGAGGACAGAGCTTTGAGAGGTTGACTCTCTCTGTCCTCTGCTTCATCTGACAAATAACAAACTTTATTTCCTTTTCCTCAAAACCCTGCTCTCATTATTGGTAAATGATAAACTGGCACTGAGACCAGGGACCAGTTTTTTGGTAATAGTACCTTTGCAAAAACTTTAAAAGACGTTTTGTTGAAAACACTGACTTTTTCAAGAGCTAATAGATATCTGATTGCATTGTTCTTATATAATAATCTAGATTTTCTACTTACCAGCAATCACAACATATTTGGACAGCCAGCCAAATCGGGGACTCTTAAAACATAAGTGGTTTAACACTGTATTTCGGATTAAACATAATCTCTCTCTCTCTCTGTCTCTGCTTTCTTTTTAATTGCAAATATCTGCAAATTGTTCACATCTTACCCTGGGACCAAACAAACCCCTCCCCACTCACTGATTATTGGTGATGGAGAACAGCTCAGGATTTACCCTCCAGCAGGTTACTGCAACCTAACACTTTTGTAACTGAAAGTCCTCTCTCTGCTTCCATCTCACACCTGGCCCTTGATGGCTCTTTGCAATTTTTTCCCTAACCTTTAATAAACTTTTATCATCACCATCACTATGTCTACGTGCCTGGATGCATCCATGTAGGATATAAGAATCTGGGCACCAGTGGCTCTCATCTGCAATCCTGGCTACTCAGGAGGCAGAGATCAGGAGGATCACTGTTGAAAGCCAGCCTGGGCAAACAGTTCACAAGACACTTATCTCAAAAATACCCATCACAAAAAAGAACTGGTGGAGTAGCTCAACTTGTACTTCAAGACTTGGTACCACAAAAATAAATAAATAAATAAATAAAAGACATTTATTTATACAAAATAACAATACCACCTTTAACACAGAAGTTCCTGGACTGAACTGACCATCTGTTAGCCAACCAAATATAAGGCCAAGGTAGTTGCACACAAGAAGGCAAATATCTTTTGAAAACATTACCATGACGAACAAACTATTACCAAATTTCATCCCCCTGCCAGGAAAACGCAATAAAAGCTTGCTGTTCTCTTTTCTTCAGCAACCAGCAGCCTGATTCTCCCTTGATCACTGCTGTCTCCCTTTGATTCCAATTGAAGTAAGACAGCTAAATAAAGCTTTGCCTGCCTTGTTCATAATATGTGTCTTGGTCTCATTCCCACTGTTTCCATGCCACACAATCCCACTAAACAGTATCAGTATCAGCTATTAGAAAGGATCCCTTGAGCCCAGGGCTAGTCTGGGCCATTTGGTGGTACTCCATCTTTTTTTTGTTGTTGTTTGTTTTTTGTGGGACTGGGGTTTGAACTCAGGGCTTTGTTCTTACAAAAGAACAGCTTGCCAAGCATGCACTCTACAACTTCCAGTCCATTTTGCCCAAATTATTTTCAAAAAGACTTCTCTCCAACTATTTACCCATCTGGCCTCTAACTGTGATCCTCCCAAAATCAGCATCCCAAGTAGTGGCATGAGCCACTGATGCCCAGAGGGTGCAACAACTTTTAAAAGGAAAAAAAAAAGTACAATTGTGAGAAGACATAGATACTTAGATACACAGTAATTCGTGAACGTCAAGAAATATCAGATTTAACTTTACCAATGTTTACACATGAATAGTCAAGTCTATAGAGGATTAATCTTGCCCAAGGTCACACAGCTTCTATATATTTTGACCTACGTGCACCACCTTAGTATGTAAATAGAATCTGAATTGGTTCCCACTCTTGGCTCAATTTTAACAGGTAATGCAGAAGAAAGGATTTGCCTATCAGATCTACAGAGAATGTAAACAAGGTGTCTTCAGTTTCTTAAATTTACAATGGCTTCTGTTCCTCAAAATGATGGTGCTGAGACTGAGGAAGATTCATTATGAAGCTAATCAAGTACTATCCAATAACTATTGATCTTTGTCCAAAGCAAAGCTGCAGATTACTCAGCTCACAGCATGCCCTAGTCAGAGTGGCCCAATGTAGGCAGAGAGGAGGAATGAGAATGACAAGGGGACCTGGACAGAGTAAGGAACAGATCAAGAGAAGAAGCAAGAAACAGGTGTGTGAAGGATGTCTATACTCCCCACCTCCCTTCATCTTCCTCAGGCCCTGGTTACCTCTCTATTTCTTAGGCTATAAATGAGTGGATTGAGAATAGGAGTGATGATAGTATAGAAGATGGAGGTGGCCCTGTTGCCTGCTGGTGTCCTAGTTGAAGACCACTGCATGTAGATAAATATGGCTCCCCCATAGTAGAGGCCCACCACAGTCAGGTGGGAGGAACAAGTAGTCAGAGCCTTCTGATTCCCCTCAGTGAAGTGCATCCTAATCACAGCTGTGAGGACCTTGGCATAGGAAGTCACAATGACCCCAAGGGGCAGCAGCAGCATGACCACACAGCATGCATAGATGAGGTCCTCAAAGAGGGAGGTGTCAGCACAGGAGAGGCGCAGCAGGGCAGGGACCTCACAGAAGAAGCGGTCCACCTCTACAGAGCCACAGTAGGGGAAGCTGAAGACCATAGTCACATCAATCACACTGTCAGCCATCCCACCCCCCCAGGATGCCAAGGCCAGAAGAAAGCAGGTCTTCCAGTTCATGAGCACAGGGTATCTCAGAGGGTAGCAGACTGCTGCGTACCGGTCATAGGCCATAACTGCCAAGAGAAAACACTCTGCTCCTGCTACCATGACCACTAGAAAGAACTGGGCTGCACAGCCTCCCCAGGAGATGACTTTATGGCCTGAGAGAAAGTTGGCTGCCATCTTGGGCACCACTGTGCACATCAGGGTCAAGTCCATGATGGAGAGCTGGCTGAGGAAGAAGTACATCGGGGTGTGCAGGTGCCTGTCAGCATGGATGAGCAGGAGGAAGAGGATGTTGCCAGCCAGGGTGGCCACAGAAACCAGAAGGACCAGGGAAAACAGAAATAAATCAGATGGTGAATAGCTGAACAGGCCTGTAAGGATGAAGTTTGACAGGAAGGTGTGATTCCAGAGCTCCATGGCCATGACCCTGAGAACGAACAAACAAACAAACTATTCACCTGGCATCCCAACAGCATGCATGATGAAATAAACCTTTGTCTTCCAAAACACAGAGACCAGACCTTTAACACTAGCCTAACCTTCCTTCTGGCAGTGAAAATCCTCTTTCTCTCACCTGGCCTCAGGAGTTACCATGTAAGGATTGATACTTAACTTCTCTTGAGAGATGAGAAATGGCAGAGAGAATAGAGGCAAGGAGACCACAGAGTAAGGAGACTGACTAAATGGCAGGTGGATAGACATGGATTTAGGAAAGTGACGTACTGGAGAATATGAGAGGCGGAAAGAGAAGGGAGAGGGGTGGCAGGTTTAAAAGCTAATCCAAATAAAAAAAAACAAGAGTGAGGCTGCTCCATGCCCCTTAGCTTAGAGCATTTACTTTAGAAAATTTATAAATTCTCTCTCTAAACTGTATGTAAATCTTTTAAATCTCTTAAAAGCTTAATAAATTTCTTGCCAGCTTTCTGACCTAGGAATGTCTATCTCAGAACCTAAGAGCCAGAACTCCTTGGGTTGCAGTCATCAAAAAATATGTGGTCTGGTAAATGTATCTCAGTGGTAAATCCCTTCTTATCCGGCATCTTTAAGACCTTAAGTTTGAGCCTGAGCACCACAATAAGAGTGAGGAACAAGGAAAGAGGGAGGGGGAGAGAAAAAGAGAAAGACAGAAGATGAAGAAGACATACAAGGGAAAGAAGGAGGAGGAGGAAGAGAAGAAGAAAGAGAGAGAGGAGAGGAGGAGGAAAAGGGGAGAAGAAGGAGAAGACCTGATCTAACCATTCATCCTATTCTGCTATTTGAACTTTGGAGAACATGAGGGCAGGGACTGAGGACACACCAGTCTCACAGTTATAGTCATTTCATTTAGTGCATAACTGGGTGGGGATAAGACCAGTGATGTCCTAAGACCCATTACTGGATTCACAAATGAAGGAATGGGCCAATGCTCACTAGAGAAATGGTGTGGGGGGTGCTTTGTTGATGTATATAGCTTTGATTTCCCATGATGTCTAGAATTAAATAAAGTCCCTAGAGATGTTGGTCGTAGGGTACAAAGTTCAGTTAAAGAGAAGGAATAAGTTTTAGTGACCTATTGCACAGCATATAAGCATAGGTTCAAAGCATTGTATATTTCCAAACTGCTAAGCACAAAAATATTTAAATGTTTGCACTGCAAAGAAATGGCAAGCAATAGAGGTGATGGATGTGATAGTAAGCTTAGTTAATCTGGTCATTCTACAATATATGCACATGTAACATCACATTATACCCCACAAATACATACAAGTATTATTTATCAATTAAAAATAAAGAGCTGAAGGGAAGGGGGCCGTAGGATAAAAAAATGATGCTGCTTTGCTCTACATAAATAAATAAATTAATAGCCACATGTGGCACATACCTATAATCTCAGCACTTGGAAGCTGGAGGATCAGGAGTTCAAGGCCAGCCTGGGCTACATGACCCTGGCTTGAAAATAAAATAAAAATAAAAATAAGCAAATAACAAATTTCCCTTAGTAGGAATGGATAAGACTGTCAAAGATAGACAGATAATTGAAGTAGATGTGATGGGAGGATATTTACAAACAGAAAAATGAGAAGCAAGAGTGAGACACCTTGGAGCTCTTAGTCATGTTTATATCTCTGGGACATCTAGGAATGTGTTTTAAAATGTAAATTCTTTAATCTTTCCTATTGGGGTTCTGGTTCACTGGATCTGGATGGAGCCCTGCCATTTGTTATTTATAAAATCTCCTAAGGTGTGCTGATGGGGAACCAGGTTCACATACACACTACACACTGATTTAGAGAAATCTGGGTGCATAACTCTATTCTCTTCTTTGCACTGTGAGACAGCTGCCTAGAGTCAGAAACTGTCAGAAGCAAATAAGACAAGCAAGTACAGAGACACAGCAATGATGGAAGCCAGAGCACAGAGTAAGGATAAAATCCACAATTGGAACAGACCAGTGCTTCGAATGTGAACACAGACTCCTTAAAGAGATGGGTACACATTTTGCCAGAACTCAACAAGTCTGCCTGCTCCATTTGGAATTCAGTCTATAGCCTGGGAACAAATGAACAATTTGCTACAGAAAACTAAGATTACCATCTTCTGCATTTCCAATACTGACAACCTTTATCAGCTGGAAGCAAGTAGATGTCTCTATATCCAGCATGACTTTCTCCAGAGAGCCTAAAGCTGAAGCCTGAAGTCAGACCAGCTCTTCCCAGTTCCCTGTCACCTTCAGTCCCTCATCTGTCAGGTCCTCCCTGCCTCCTCAGTACCTACCACCCCCAAACAGCTCCCCACAGTTCACCTTCCACCTCACCCTGCAAATCCAGTCCTCTGAATGTGTGAGCAAGTGGTGGCCTAAGGAAGCCTCTTTACATACACTCTCCCCAAACTCTTTGGCTCTCAATACAAATTATAGAAATAATGATCTAAGTCATTCTTCTGTTACTTATGAAATTAATAATGAGCTCATGTACCAGGTTTGTACCTCTAGTTGCAGGGCAGATGTCTTGGGACACCAAACCCAGCTCTTAATGAGGGCCGGGAATAAGCAAGCTCTGCACCAAGAAGGAAACCAAAATAATGAATTGGCTTCATGACAATGTTCACTCTCTAAAACCCTAACTTTGAAAAATACCCCAGACTCCCATTAAAAGACAGAAGGAGACCCCCAAGGGATATCACTTGTCCAAGTGGCATCTTTACCCAGAGTCAGAATGAATGTCTCTCTAATCAGGGAGTTCTGTTAATGGACAGCAAGACATGGATCAGGTCAAGTGTTCTGTGAACTTTGTCCTCAGTTCATATCCGATACTTTTATTATACTTTTATACACTCAACCACTGGTTAATCATTGCTCATTCAACAAATCATGAAGCACTGTGGAAATAACAACCAACCAAATAAAACCAAAGGTGATTTATCCAAAGTTAGCTATAGCAAGGGAGTCAGTCAACATCACTTAAGCTTTGACAAAAACTCAAAGGCAGGCTGGGGGGTGAGAAAGCTTTAAAATGAGGTAAAAAACAGAGAGCTTCAGGTGTGTTCTGAGTTAGTCAAGTCCTGGCTACTTGGTGTAGTTTTTACAGAAATTATCACTTTGGGCTTACTGGATGGTTACTAAAGATAGAAATCTGATTTCTGACAAGTCTGACATATAGAAGGTTGTCTTCCTGGCTTGTTTATAGGGACTTAGCTTCCTGAGCAAGTTACTGCTGTGGTTAGTCAATTCCATTCTTGTACACAGTCTGGCCATTGTCTGTATGTATGTTAAGTCCCTTAGCACCTATAAAGTGAATATTAATGGCTGACTTTTGAATAGTAAATCATTCATGAATTCTTGGAGTGAGTCTCACTCTTTCTGCTGTACTGTCCCACTTCTCTACTTGGTTGACCCAACTTGCTAATATTTTGTTTAGGATTCCTAAACAAAATTTCATTCATGTGAGGCTTGGTCTGTCATTTTCCTTTACAATACAGGATAGTACCATAGGTTATAATATCAAGATGAAGCTAATATTTTCAAAACAGAAAAACCCTCTCTCTTTGTTTTTCCTACATGGTTTCATTAACACAAATTTCATATCCTAAATATACCTGATAGGTTGCACATAAGATGTGAAATAAAAACCTGCCATGTTTTCTTTTGCAGCAATAGGGATTGAACACACAACCTCACCCATTCAAGGCAAGTGCTGTACTACTGAGCTACATCACAGCTGTTTTCATTTTTTTCTCCAGTTCTATTTTTTATATATTGTCACCAAACAGCTAGAATGAGAGAGAGAGACAGAAGAAGGAGGAGGAGGAGGAGCAGGAGGAGGGGAGCAGGAGGAGAGAGGATGAAGAGGAAGGACAAGGAAGAGGAAGGGAAGGAAGAAGAAGGGAAGGAGATGGAGAAGGAGAAAAAGGAGGACAGAAAACAGCGCAAAGGTGAATGTTTCACCAGAACTTCAAAAGTCCTATTAAAGTTGTACAAATTAAGCCATTTGGTCATAGCATAAGAGAGCCAGATAGAAGCATGGGATACTGTCTCTTAAAGGCCAGAGTTAGATTAAGTTCAGAAATTCATCCAGTGTATATTAGAACTAGGAATAAGACAACAGCAGATTTAAGTCCCCAAATAAACATGCTAGCTTGGATGAAGAAATTAAGAGAGCAGTTCCCTCCCCATTTAATTTTATGGATCACTTCTGGCCAGCAATTCAGGGGATGCTGAATTTTCCCTGAAGGCCTGGGATGGAAGATGGAGGTTTTTCTCTTTTTTGCCAGTTTGCATCTCAAGAAAATGTCAAAGTAAGATTTTTTAAAACTTTGATAGGATATTACCTTAACTTTTTCAAAAATTATAGCTATACTTCAACCCATGGGCACAACAATCACAAAGAAATTCAAGCAGAATGATAAAAAGAAAACCACACAAGGACATCAATATCAAGTTGCTGAAAACAAGAGATATAGAAAAAAAATTTTTGAATGATAAGAAAAATAAGATACATTACAATTAAGAATCTATTAAATTATACACCAGAAATAACAGAGAAAAGAAACCAATGAAAAACATTTAAACTACCAAATGAAAAAAAAGTCAACCTAGAATTTTGTAACCAGAAAGAAATACCAGGATTGGCAAGATTGCCTATTAGAGACACCCAGCCCTTTCCTGTGTCTCCACAAATCTGAAGGAAAACATCAAGCATGTGGCTACAGGGAGAGGTGGGTGACTTGGAAAGGCACAGGAGTGCAACAGTAAACAGTAGACCAGGTGAAATCAATAAATATTGAACTTTACATTTGTAAAAGAAACAACAGACCCTAATATCAGGTGCCAGGCAAAATGGAAGGGAAGTTGGAAAATCCCTCCATCCTCCCCCAAAAAAAACCCAGAGCTTTAAGCAAAAGAGAAAAATGAAAGCCTCACTGAGCTTCACAGGTACACATTCTAGTGTTCTGCAAAAATATAGTTTAAGCATATTAATAAAGGGAACAATCCAACAAGAAGATGTAACAATGCTAAGTATATGTGACTGAACATCAGTGTCCACAAGTTCATAAAACAAACATTTCTGAGCTTAAAGAAACAGATAGGACCAGATACAATAATAGTGGGAGACCTCAACACCCCACTGTCTTCAACAGACAGAACATCCAGATAGAAATTCAACAAAGATACTCTAGAATTAAGCAATACCTTGGACAAATGGAT